GAGATTCCCTCCAGCAGCGTCTCCATCTAGTTCATCCAGCATATCATCGGCACAAAGGCGCATTACTCTCAAGAGGGCATCCCGTCAGCGGGAACATATCCCTCTCCAGCCTAGAATTCTCTTGCACAGATAGATCAAGTAGCTTTCCATGCCCAAAGGCAGGAGAACCATAACCCCTAAGATCGCCAGTAGCTGCAACCCTAGAACTATGCATCCTTAGGGAAACCCTTCGCAGGGGAAAAACCCAAGGCGGCCAGAACGCTGCTCTGTAGACGAGGCAATCGCCCCGATCCACGGTCTCCAGGTAAGCTCTGTACCGTTTCGACCCAGCGGTTTGTGTCTAGTGGTCTCATCCAGTGAGACATATCGTCGAGGCCCGGTTGTGTTCCGGGCAGCAGCGGAGGCTGCAGAAAGAAAGAAGAGAGTCTCTGGGCAGTACGCGACTGCAGAGATCGGTCAAGCAGCTTCCGAGCTGCAAAAAGGGCAACGAACCATGTGGGGTCCGTGCGTCAAGGTCGAGGGCACCAGAGGGCCCAGAAAGTCGAGCAGCCGAAGGCTGTTTGTGTTGTTCGGGCAGCTAAAGCTGCTGTAGTCGGTCGAGGCAGCGTTAAACTGCAGGCGAAGGTGAGAGTGAGGGTGAGGGCACGATGGCCCTCGATGTCAAGCAGCAAGATGCTGCGAATGTCGTCTGGGCAGCCGAGGCTGCAGAAGTCGGTCGTACGGGAAGTCGAGGGGCACAGAGGCCGGAATGTCGCAGGCTCGCGAAGCCGAAATGTCGAGGTGAGAAGAAGTCGCAGATAAGACAAATGAAATGGTGCCCGGGGGCGATGTCAAAAGCTCGCGAAGCTCAGTGCCGTTGAAAACACTTGTCACGAAGAAAGGTCAACTCTCTGAATCCCTTTCTTCCAGCAGCTGTTAGGGCCCCGCTAGCCCCACAGCTGCACATACTGCCATCTTGGCCTGCAAAAAAACCTATGTCCTAGCGGAACGCCAACAGCGGGTGCCAAGAATGTTTTTTTTTTACAGGAAACAGTTGTTCACGTAAGAGTGGGCAGGGCCAAACGACAATTTAGCGTACAGGACGATTTATAAATAGAAGTGTAGGGTGATTGGCTGTAGATTTGCTAGCAAGGCGCTCTCGCGACTCGTGTCCATCGGTCAGCATTCCACTCTAAGAATGCCGTCTTTGCCAACCAAATATCCTCTGAAAAGCTTTGACTTGCCTGACTTCGCTTGCTTGAATCACCAGTTACCTTCTTGGCATCCATCGTCTCCGACTTCCACGCTCGCTTGTTCGGCACCAGCTGCGCCAATGGACGCCGAGCCGGCTTGAGTAGCAAAGCCTGTTCAAAGTCGATCACTATAACCCTGTTGGTCTCAGGATTGAATAACATGTTTGCAAGCCTCACATCTTTGTGGACCACGCCCTCTCGATGCATGGCTCTTAAGGACCGAATGGCCTCGTCTTTGAGCGACCTGTCTATGTCGCCAGTTTTCTGTGCTCTGTCGATGCTGCAGCCTCCCTAGGATAAAAATATCATGTGCACCACGTAGACCCGGTGGTCATAGTAGTAAGTCTTGTTTATCGATCGAAGGTCAACCGCACCCAGGAAGACAGGCACGCAGACGCCTTGGATCGGCTTGAGACGCTCGTAGACAGCAGCCTCGTGCTCGAGATCTCTGATGAAAGCCCGCACCGTGCCCTTGCTGACAAAGGTGTAGCCATGCGCAAGTAGGGTCACTTGGAAGAGCACACCCCGCGCACCACCCTCCCCCAATGGCCTGATCCCGTCGTCGAGAGACTGTTTCAGCTGCTTCCAGAGTAGGCGAAGCCACTCCTCGTGATTGACAGGATGACGTGTGCGGGCGGGAGCGCAGCTCTTGCAGTGAAGTGCCACGTTCGGGCACTTTGAGTTAAGAAAACCGCCCTTGGCCATCCCGAGAAGATATTTCTGTGTACAGTACTGCCGACCCTGCTTGCCGCCTCCTCTGCGTAGCTGTAACGCCAGTCGCTGGCTCCGCCTAGTTCCTTGTCTTGTATTTCGTCTGGTTGGCGTAGGCGTGTCCGGTGGCCTGGGCGCCGACTTATCATCAGATGGTTCCCGCCTGTTGTCCTTCCTTAATGACCCCTCGCTAATCTGGCATATAGTAGTTCGACGTGTCCTTTTGCGGGGCAGGGCCGGCGACTGATTAACGCCCTTGTAGGTGGTGGGTTCATAAGCAGGCGAGTAGTCTGATGATGCCGATTGTTTATTTTCTGGGATAGAACGCAATGTCGATTCGAAGTCCTTAGTCTACGTCCTTAACTTCTCCATAGCCTTTTGACGTTCCTCCTGCCTATTCCCCCGTCGTTCTCCGGGCGAACCGAGAGCCATGAGGGTGAACGCTAGATATTGACTGACAGCCGTGCATATTGGTAGGTTGCTTGGATGTGCCGATACCTCCGGACCAGGCTCTGCTAGGTGATAGTACAGAGTCTCGGGTTCGTCCTAGTTAACTTTGAGAAATACGATGGCCTCGCCAGTAGTAAGAAGACCATATTTAAGGCCACTTTTAATTATGTAATGATATGTCTGCGTGATGGCAGATGCCGTCAGCTTCTCTGCGTGGTACTGGAAACGCGCGTCAGGGTCTACAGAAGTTGGAACCGTCCTTTGGTTTATAACTTCCTTGTAGATATCCATAGCGCGGAGACCAAGACGAAGATGCAGAGCGGTTAACTTATAAGGCGGCTTATACTTGGAAACGTAAACCATGGTGCGCCGGGAAGACAGGGTATTGTCGGATCGATAGATGCAGATTTGATCTGGTTGCAGCTGGTTGAGATCTCTTCGGTGGTTCGGCGTCCGTGGTAGTGTCGATGGGGTCTCCCTGTCCACGACTTCCTCAGCGACGTCGCTGAGGGCATGGGGATGGTTCTCAAAGACGACACCATCTCCGATCTGAAAAGCCCTGCTGACCTCTTCCACCTGTTTGAGCTGTTGTATGATGGCTTTAACCGGATCCTCCATGCTATTATGCAAGAAGTATTCGAGCGTCTTCTTGTCTGCTATCGGCCGTTGAGAGATCCTGCTCCCCAAGCCGGCCAGGAAGTTTCGGTTCTTGAAAACGCGGCTTTCGGTAGGAAATGCATCGTAGAGTGTGCCAAATATAAACTTCTGTTGAGCAAGGAAGTCGGGCCATGGCCTCAGATTTTTGGGATACCACTTGTCACGCGGGTTGGTGATGGAGCCCCTCGAAGTCAGATTTGGATCTGTTTCGATGGCAAAGCGAGAGAAAACGGAGGCATGGCAAGCTGCCATGTATTCGTCAAGTGTCGTGAGTCGTGTTTGTTCCTCTGACGCTTCGGCGCGTTGCTGTTCTCTCTCGGCGCGTTGCCGCTCCTCCTGTCGTTCTCTCTCCGCTTCCTCGGCGCGTTGCTGTTCTCTCTCGGCGCGTTGCCGCTCCTCCTGTCGTTCTCTCTCTGCTTCCTCGGCGCGTTGCTGTTCTCTCTCGGCGCGTTGCCGCTCCTCCTGTCGTTCTCTCTCCGCTTCCTCGGCGCGCTGTACCGCCTCTTGAAGGAGCTTTTCCAGCTCCCCTACGCTCCTCTGGTGGGTCATAAGGTATCGCTGTCGGTGTTTGTTCTATAGGAAATAAAATGAATTTGTATTGAATGCAAACAGGACCAGTAGCTGCGACAAAAAGTGTTGATATTACGCGAACCTACGTTGCTAGGGCGACCTCTGCTTTTATTGGTCTGAGGAAGCGATTGCGTGCATGGGCCAGCTATGATCCAAAATGACGTGGCGTTTTATCATAGCAGCCGCCAAACTTCTGCTGCTTGGTCCTTCTTTTCTTCGACCCGCCATTGCTGCTGCGCTTTGCCGTTATCGCGTTTCTGTTGTCATTATGAAATAGTCTGCACGCTCGTCGGATAAGCAGGAAATGCCGTGAAGGCAGTCTCTGTAATATTATAAACTTTGTCTTACCGGTGAGCCAAAGTAGACTAACATGTGCACGCGTAAGCTTAGGGGTTGGGGCAAGTGGGATTAGCGTCCGTGTTTTATTCTCTGTAGTAGCTGGAGAAAAGTGACAAGGGTGTAATCGTATTTCGTAAGCAACGTTTTGGCGGGGGTTTGGTCTGGAATTGGGATTAACTATAAGAAATGATAAAGAAAGCGGGATGCAAGGCGCAAATAGAGATTAGAATGTTTTTAGTAATTTTCATTAGGTTAAAAACTAAAAATCCTTGCAAGCGATAAACTCTAAGAACACCGGTTGGGCAGACTGCAAAGAGAATACAGGGAATACCATAGGAGACTGGGAGTTTAGATTTTCCGTCGGAGATAAAACGGGCGTTGGGGTATGACGTCATTTACAGGGGGCAACCGATGAACGGGGGGAGGCGACGATCTAGAATAGAAGAGTAGGGTGAAGTGGAGATGCATTCAGGACTCCTTCTATCTATCTATGGGCGACGGAAGTCTTATTTAGGCTTCTTAAAGGCCTTGAATAGGGATATCTAGTCTGATGACGCGTTAATGCAAAGGGAGAGGGTTTGGTTAGGTGTTTATAGAGGGAGAGGCTCTAGGGCCTGCTCCCTGCATTATGTTATGTTATGTTATGTTATGTATATTTTTCGTCCGGGGGGCCCCGAAAGTCCCCTACTGGGGCACAGGACGTGCTGAGCTAGAGAGATTGGAACCTATTTACACGCTGATTACAGAATACTATCTAATTCTGCAGACGAGTCGATAGACCACACACTATCCAGCATATCAACGGCACAAATGGCGCATCTTATCGAGCCTGTTACCTGTCAGCGGGATGATCAAGCGTGGCTGATGAACAACAGCCGCAAGGTAAGCCCGTTGTCAGGCGATCGTGAGCCTCTGGGCGCGGTAGCCTCTGGGCGCGGTAGCCTCAGGGCTGCCTTCAAGTCATCGCGGTCAGGCGGAGGGTGCTAGCGCCCTTCGTCTGGCCTAGAACAGGTAAGAGAGAAAAAGGTAACAAAAGAGATGTATAAGGGTAAAAGAGGGTGTGTGTGTGTGTGTATTTTTCGTCTGGGTGGCTGTAACGAAGCCAGATCTCCTACTGGAGCAAAAGACGTGCTGAGCTAGCTAGGTACAGGGAAACCCCGCTTCCTTCACCATCCAGCATACCAATAGCACAAAAGGTGCTGTGCAGCGCTAACCTCAATTCAAGTATCAAGTCAAGTATTTCAAGTAAGTCAAGTAAGTCGACGAACCAGTTTATTTCAAGTAAGCAAGTTCATAATGCTTCAAACTTGATTTACTTGAAATACTAGATTTTATGGATTTTCCTATGCGACAGCCCTGTGAGTTTCGAGGCTGTTCGGAGTCCCAGGCATAGGGTAATCAATTGAGTGTGGTACCCCAGTTGATTACACCAATGGAACCCAGGAACGCGGCAGGGGTGGCGCGACTACGTGTTTTGCGTTCGCTCGCGTGCTGGAAACACCTGGTTCAGAATTAACGTCGCTCCCTGATGAGAAGCATCTGTATTCCGCGATTCGCCGGTAACCCGCTATGGCAGCACAACAACAGTCGTTAGAATCGCTTCTGGGAATTAGTGGCCATCGCAAATCACTCAAGCAGCAGCTTGACGCTGCGTCCATCAAGACTAAAGCTGGGAAACATCAACACCAGCGAGAACGAAATTTTTAAAAACAACAGCTATTTACAGCGCCGCAACACCGTTCCGACAGGTTAATTGGATAGCCCAGTGTCGGCCGCATTGCCCAGTGCGACTTAGAACATCATGGCGACCCCGTGGCCCCAGGACGAAATTTGGCCCACTGATTACCGAGAGCACGCCACAAATTTAAGCAAATATCTTCAAAAGGCACTATCAGCTATCGATAATGGAGATGGTCTGCCTGTCGCATCCCGTGGAGTTCGAGTTGCACTTATTAGAGCTCTTACCCTCATCGTTAAAATGCAGAGCATACCTGATCTTGGTCACGTTTACGAAGCCGTGAAAAACGGCCAAGCTGAAATAAAAACCGCAGCAGAAAATTTAGCGCAACATATTAACAGCCTTAAAAATAATCTCAATAAAATAAACACCTAAGCTTAATAAACCATGGAAGAAGTCCAGCGCAGTTCGGAGATTACGATAGATGCAAAAGCGGCTGCAAAGGAAGCCATAGAGATTGGTAAAGTAACGATGAAAATGATCAGAGACATGAAGCTCGTAAGCCAGCAGAACCAAGCTAACGCCATGCCTACCTACGCTAACGTGCTGGCGAGGGGAGGGCTAGCGGCAAGCATGCATAACCTACAGAACCAGAAAGCGTTACCTGTTCAGACCCTGCGTGAGATTATCATCAACATCAGAGACCCTGTCACTATAGCCAACATCAGAATGATGAGCCCATGCAGCCTGAAGTCATATGTAGACCTCGTAATCGAGCAAAGCAGCAATGAACACATAGAGAACATCAAGGTAGTATCCTCTAATCAGCTTAAGAGCGGTGACCTGAGTATTAAGACGGCCACTATAGCGGACATGGTGGCGCTTAGATAGTTTGCAGAAGACTGGGAATAAAGGATCGGAAACGGCGCTACAGTATGCATTCCGACGTACGGTGTCTTGGTGTATGGTATATGCACTAGTTCGATGAATATGGATAATTTTAAACTTATCAGAGATGGGATACTTTAGGATAATAAGCCCTTTATACCAAATGCAGAGATTAAGTATATAGGCTGGCTGATGAGATCTTTGTCTACTAAATCAGCATTTTTGGTCGTGGTTGAGTTTATGAGACTAGAAGATGCAAATAAAGTCATCGATGAGGGCCTCATTTGGCAAGGCGAGGTGTTCCAATGCGAGCTCTATGATAGACAGTGCCGTGTGAGATAATGCTTCCAGTGTCACAAATACGGCCACATAGGAACCCAGTGCAAAGCAATAATAACATGCGGCTACTGCGCGTAAGATCATGCCACCCGGGATTGCCTAACCAAGAGCAATAGGAACGCCCTGCGAAAATGCGCGGCCTGCAACGGCCTTCACGAAGCCTGGAACAACCAATGCCCTACCAGGAAACAGGAGGTGAACAAGGCCAAGGCAGCCTCTAAATCGAGACCCAGGTACTACTTAGAACTAGAAAGCTTTGTCGCCAGCACCACGACCGGAATTAGAACAAGGGATCGGCAAAATGAATTAAACCCGATCGCCAGGACAGGACGACCCACCTTGGAACCAGGCCGGCCACGGGACGCCAACTTGTCCCGGAGTAGATCGCCGACGAAGAAGCAATAGAAGAGAGCGAATTGCAGTAATAACCAGGTAATACCCGATGATCCTAGAAATGAGATCGTCGTAAACATAGGGAGCCAGCGACCTAGATGAATATTAGCTCCTTCTAGGAGAGTATTGGAAATACTGGACGCCAACAGACAGATTACACAGCACAGCCAGCAAATGGAGGTTGACGATTAAGAATGTTAATAGGAAACACTCTTATAATACTATAGTACAACGTTAGAAAATCAAAGGACATAGTCATGGCCACGCTCTTGCGAGATCCCGATATAGGGCGATATGACATCCTCGCCATCCAGGAGCCATGGAAGAACCCATTTGACATAATAACTCATTATCTAGCCAAAGACTAGTTTCACCTATGCTACCCAGACAAGGATCAAAACTTCCCAGCTAGGGTCTGCTTTTTTATCAATAAGAGGCTTGATCACTCTAGGTGGCACTTTAGAGAGGCAAGCAGAGATCTCTGCTCGCTGAACCTAGTACTCGGAACAGAAGAAGAGCAGCAGATTATGATACACAACGTCTATAACCCAATAAAAACTGCAACTGAGAGAGGAAGCATGCTTCCACTCCTGGAGCTGGCCATAGAACGATCGTCCCATCATGAACAAATTATTGTTGGCGACTTCAACCTCTACCACGAGCTATGGGGAGGTGATCGGGTCCAGCGAGCAGACCATGATGCCGCTGAGCTCACCATAATCATGGAAGACTACTGTCTTACGAGCAACCTTGCTCCAGGCACTATCATATATGAAGAGTGTGACGGAAGAACGACCATAGACCTTTGCCTTACGACGGCTGGCCTTATGGACAGACTGATTTAGTGCGAAATCGAAATAGATATGGACTATGACTCTGACCACCTACCTATTACCACCTTATTAGACCTAAATATTATCAAAATGATAGCTAAGCCCCGGCGAAATTGGAAAGCGTTAGACGAAAAGATATTTACTTGCGTGCTGCAACGGGAGCTTCTGCCGCAATGAAGATTAAGAATAAAGACGGCTTTGGACAGACATGTGGAAGAAGTAATGGCAGCTATAACGGCAGCTGTTGATAAAGCAGTACCGAAGACGGCTCTGTTACCGAGATTGAAGCCAGGGTGGAATAAAGAATGCTCTGCAGCCTTGGCAGAATTAAAACGACTCCATCGGCGACATAGCCTGTATTATACCGAAGAGACATGGGAAGCATACCATGCGGCGCGAAATGATAAAGGTAGAGTTATTAAGAAAGCACTTAGATAGAACCATCAGGAGAAGGTAGAAGAAGCTGCCCAATCCCCGGCAACCCTTTGGCGGTTAGCAAAATGGGCCTAAAACAGACATAGTCAAACACCGAACGTGATACCCGCGCTAGTTGACCTAGCTATAAAGCAGCAAGCAATAACCCCTAGCGAAAAAGCAGAGCTTCTCAGAAAGACCTTCTTTCCGGTGCCACCTGACACTGATATCGAAGACATAGAGAATGCTAACTACCCTGCTCCCATAGCCATGCCACCGATAACAACGAGGGAAATAGAGGAGGCCATTGAGGAGGCAGCCCCGCTCAAGGCTCCAGGACCAGACGGCATCACTAATAAAGCACTCCAAATCGCCTCTCCCTGGATCAAGCACCATCTCACCAAGATCTTTAATTAGTCCCTCGCCCTTGGCTACTATCCGGAACACTTTCGACAATTGACAACGGTGGTCCTCAGGAAGCCAGGGAAAGACAATTATACCATACCAAAGGCCTACAGGCCAATTGCTCTATTAAACACTATAGGAAAGATCATGGAAGCGGTCATAGCAAAGAGGCTGAGTTATCTCGCCGAGACTCATAACCTGCTGCCTAATACCTATATGGGTGGAAGAAAGCTAAGATCAACAGAACACGCCCTTCACCTCATCATCGACAAGATATATAACGCCTGGAATACTGGGCAAGGCAAGGTGGCAAGTCTACTGCTTCTGGATGTATCAGGGGCGTTTAACAATATTTCACATGCATGCCTACTACATAATCTGCGGAAGAGAAAGATAGATAAAAGAATAGTTAAGTGGATTGGAAGCTTCCTGCGCCTAAGATTCACAACGCTATTAATTGATGGCTTTACATCTGAACCCTATAAATTAGAGACAGGAGAGCCATAAGGATTGAATCTGTCACCGATCCTCTACCTCTTCTATAACGCAGACCTAATCGAAAAGTGCAGAGAGCTAGACGACATGGCCACAACAGGCTTTATAGATAACATGGCTATACTTACCTGGGCAAACTCCACGAAAGAGACATGCAAGAAGCTCTAAGAGGCACTCCATATTGCAGAGCAGTAGGCGGCCACCCATGCATTTATCTTCGCGCCAGATAAATTCTAGCTTACTTACTTTACATGGACGAGAATAAGAATAGACGTCGAGGAGCCTCTGTAAACAAGATGGGGCATGATCGAACCAAAGAAAACATGCAAATACCTAGGTCTTATCATGGACTCCACCCTTACCTGGAAATAGCATATAGATGAAATATAACGCAAGGTCACCAACATAGTCAACGCCCTTAGCAGCCTCGGTGGTTTGACTTGGGGAGTGACAATGAGAGAAATGAGAAACATATATAAAGGAGTGGCTGTGCCGCAGATGATGTATGCCTGTTCTGCCTGGTCGAATGCAAACTGGAGAACCAGGGATAAGCTATACACAGAGCGAACATTGAGCAAGCTTTAAAGCCTATAGGCCAGAGCTTCTAGGGTGATTAGTGGAGCGTATAAAGCAGCATCGATACCTGCCCTTGATGTGGAAACATACCTTCTACCAGTCGAATAGCAGATCTTTAAGCATAACGTCGACACTCTGGGAAGGGTCGGCCCAGCTGAACGCCGACATATAGAAGAGGAGGCGAGAAGAAATAAGAAGAAAAGCCCGAGATGAGCTATTGAATAAGCCATCAGAGACCGCCAAGGGCCGGATATCCGGAGACAAGAGCGCATTATGCCTTATATTGTACCTCTATGGTGGCAGGGGCTATAGACGTTTATCGAAATAAATACAGAGGAGGCGCAAATCAAACACGAACAGATTATATAAGACAAGCCGGACGCCATACACATCTACACAGACGGTAGCGGCATCGGTGGTTATATCGGTGCTGCCGCAGTCTGCACCACCACCCAAGAAACAAAGAGTGCTTATATAGGAGATGACACGACTTCCACCGTCTACGCCGGTGAACTCCAAGGCATTAGTCTTGCCCTCTAGATTGCACAGGAAGACAGGTCCAGAGGCAACAGTAGAAGCAAGGTCTTGATTTATACCGATAACCAGGCCGCTATCTGATCGACCGCAAAGCCCAAGGGTAAGTCGGGGGCATACCTGCTTAGAAGCATCGCAAAACAGATTGACGAACTCTAATTATAAGGTCTAAATACCGAGATCAGATGGGTCCCAGTGCATATTGGGATCTAAGGTAATGAAGAAGCGGATTGAGCGGCAAAGGAAGCAACAGGTTGGAGAGAAGGCGACCTCACGGGACCAAAAGCAGCAGAACCGCAGCAGCTATACCTACTCTGATCGACTATGAAGATATGGTCTTACAAAGAGACTATCACGTTATGGGAAAGAGACTGGATATCCGAAATACGCGGCCGAGCATCTTTCAGGCATACACCTAAACCCTTACGCAAGGTCTTGGACTTGTATGACGGGCTTAGCAAGAAGCACAGCGCGCTGCTCACGCAGCTGCGGACGGAGAAGATAGGACTTAAGGATTTCCTCTATAACCGAAAGGTACCAGGCATCTCCAGCAACAGATGCCCCTGTGGATCGGATCGACAAACGGTAGCGCATGTCCTCCTGCGCTGCCGCCAGCACCGCCAACTTCGGGACCAGGAACTAGGACGACTCCGAGGATGCAACAATCTCCGGAAGTTACTGAGCGAGCGCAAAGCAGCCGCCAAGGCAATCAAGTTCATCGAACTGACTCAGATCCTTGGGCAATTTCAGGATCGAGACCTTAACAGACAAAGCTGAGCACTGGGGGGAGACTGTAGGTACATAGCCGCGAAAGAGAGGGCCTTACAGCCCGACAGAGCCTAGAATCACGGACGCGTTGGTAGAAAACCACTATGTACATGGGCCGGCAAGCAAATGTAAATAGTAGTTAGAGAGAGAAAAGCGGGAATTTTGGGAACAGCTGGTCAACGTGGTCATGACGTTGGCGAAGTGGGGTACCGCGGATCAACACTGATCCGCGAGGCTTCGGCTGTTCCCCGGACCCCGTTATCCGGGCATAGTCGTCTAAACGACTACAACCGAGTAGGATAATCAAATCAAATCAAATCAAAGACTGAAGCTGGAAGAACGACCCTCGCCGACCTCCCAACTGTCCAGATCGGCTGCAAGAAATATATACTAGAAGAATACATTGCCAATAAGAATCGCAAAGGTCGGAGGAGCTGGATCCAAGCCCATGGCTTCTTTCTCACAGAAGTCAGCCCTGATTTGCGGACGTTGCAGACCTACTGGGTATGCTCGAAATGTGATGAACGAGGCAAGAGCTCATTATTCGTCGCCACAAATACAACATCGCCAATTGAGCACCTCCGAAGGTAAATGATATCTATACGAGCCTGATCTTTATTACTTCTCCATTGTCTTACGAGATGTAGGTCTCATATGATCACCGAGGCGGATGACAATGTGGATGCAGATTCGTATTCATCTCGCGCTGACATTCACCCACCCTCGAAGCGGCGTTGCTTGGAGTCTCCTACTGCAAGATCGAATGTCAATAAAGCGAAGGAGTTGACGGTCGGCTGGATCGTTACTGCCAATCTTCCATTCACGGCGCCATCGAATCCGTACTTGCGCCGAATGCTCGATTTACACGATGCATTATTAGCAAAAGAGGTACCGTGGAGTCGGCAGTCAGTGCGTGATACTATGCGGAAATTATTCGAGGTAAAGAAGGGAGTAATATCAAGTCAATTGCAGAAGGCGGTCACAAGGATTAGCTTTAGCTTTGACCTATGGACTTCTCCAAACCGGTATGCTTTCCTTGGCCTCCACGCCCACTATCTCGACGCCTCCTATCAAGTCCAGTCGCGACTCCTTGCTCTGCGCCGTGTATGGGGATCTCAATCCGGAGACAATCAAGCAGCGACAATATATGATATCTTGGGCGAGTATGGGATACGAGATAGGACTGGCGCGGGTGTCTGCGATAACGCCTCGTCCAATGATACAAGCTTGGCGAGCCTCTATCGTCAACTTTATCCTGCAATGGCGGAAGAAGATATTAGAAACCATCGAACAAGATGCTTTGGGCACATTCTTAACCTTGCAGCTCGAGCCTTTCTCTGGGGAGAAGATCCTGACTCGTTTGAGCGAGAAGCCTTCACCGAGGCGGCTTTCCAAGTTGAAGAGCGTGAGCTTCGGCTCTGGCGGAAACGGGGAGCGGTGGGCAAGCTGCATAACATCGTCCGGTTCGTCAGGGCTTCCCCGCAACGGAGAGAGCTGATGAAATCCCTGGCTTGTGACCAGAACGACGAAGACGGCTATCAACTCTTTGAAGAGGAGCGAGCTGCCATCGACCTCGAGCTGATGCAAAATAATGAAACCAGATGGAATTCAACCTTTCTGATGATCCAGCGTGCCATTCGAAAGCGAGAGCACATTGACCATTTCATTGCATATCTCGAAACGAAGACGTCAGAGCCCCGACAGCGGGTGCCTGTCCAAGATCAGCTTTCACCACAGGACTGGCTTCTGTTGGCGGAGATACAGAGTCTACTCAAACCGCTCCATGAGATCACCATGAGGTGCCAGGGTTGGGCCAAAGA